GTACCGCCGGTACGTCTTCTTTAATATCCGCCCTGCCATGTGCTGAAAAAGCTTGGGCTGTGGGATCGTGCGGTATTTACCATCCATTGATTTATTTTGTCAATGAATTGTCTGGTTAGGAAGCCGGGAACCTTACTCGGTTTGTCGATCAATTGAAGAAAAAAAGTGGTGCGAAATGTCTCTGCATTTGCGTACATTACGTGACATGTGGAACATCCCAATTAAACATATATTCTGCGTGGGGCTATGTTGTTTCGAAACATCCAACTAGGATACGCACGCATGGTATATACGTACCTATCTACCTTCTGTAACAAGTTCCAAGCTCTACTAGTTGCCAATAGGTTTCACCTGAGGCATTTCCTAGGGTATCTACGGAATAGAAGCCTTAGCCAAGCGGAGGATTCGAAAATGGTATGATCCCGTCACGTCAATAGAGATGAGGAACATGATAGAAGAGGGCATGGGTGTGGGGGTACGTATGGGTTTTTTGATACAGATTCTGACTGGACCTGTTGAAACACGACGAGTAAACTTCACCCATGGCGCCACCGGCATGTTCTTTTCTTTGTTGTTTGCAAATCAAAAAAAATTAGATTGTATTAACGTTGCGAAATGAACAAGGCAAAGTCGCCATTGGGCTAAATAGGTGGGAATACTATTATATATTACTCAAATATATATATATCCAATGTCGAAACTTATGTGCATGCCGCGGTAAAGTAACGTGCATGGCTTCCATGTCAGCCGGCCTGTAAGAGCTGGTAATCAAATAAAGACTCGTTAAGTAATGCAGGAATCACCTTATCCGAATCACAGACAAGGCACATATACATAGATTAGTAGGTACCTATATAATAGGTAGCAATATCTACTACCGACTTTGCTTTTGGGCATGCCCAATCATCCATTAGCTGGCTAGGAGCTCTTTATACGTATCGTTCTAGATCGTATCAGTGCAGCAGCGCAGTTGCTACCCCACGCTACAGATCCCAAAAAATTGTGATAATCGACAGTTGTTTTTCTTACTCAGTGGGGGTTAGCGATTGCCCGAAAAAACAACTCGCAGAAATTTATTTAAGACGGCATAAAAGGCTACCATTCACCCCCTGCTTCATCGCGATTGACTCCCATGTCTCAATTTATGGGCCCACAACTAATTGGTACATGTGCGTATGTGGACTGTGACAACTAGAGGGTACTTGCCGAGTACTCCATGTCACGCTTGCTAGGGTTGAATTTGCGATCGACAGAGCAAAGTCCAAATCCATTTTCTCGTTTGGCTCTTTTGGGTTATTCAAGGGTTAGGGTTATCTGGGCTTCTGGAACAGCCAGCCTACCTGGAGTGTCAACGACCCTTTCGCATTTGAAGAGATCTACCGGAAGAATGACAAATGATCTAGCTATCAAGTTAGCTAGCTGAACTACCGTCCGTCCCAATGGTTTTACTGGGGTCTGGGTTCCTACTAACAAGTAAAAATATTACTCTATATTGATCCACAAAACGGGCCTCTACGTACTTCTTTTTTAATTGACCCCCTTGGGCAGTTTACTGTTCTCCTGTTTTGCACAGGCGTTAAATCAATCATTGCCACTCTACAGAACGCGGAATTTGGGTACGTACTCAGTCAGCTGCTGCAGGGAAAGAAGTAGTAGAGGCGCACTCCATCCAAGACAATCAATCATTGGTTGCAATGTGGCTGCTTTGGCGCAACGCCCGTTATCCGGAAGCCCCCTCTAGCTAGGAGTAGTAGAGTACCGACGCTCATACTTTCTCACTCGATTGCCACCCACCCTCGAGGTAGAAAACCCATTGCGGGCCCCGGAAGTATGAATCTGTCCAGGCCGAGACATAGATGTCTCTTCTGTGCTGATGTGCGATCGAGAGGCACCTTCAAATGCGTTTTCGATATGAGACAACTTGTATTGCAGGTTAAGCTTGAAGGGGCTCAAGCCCTATGTACTCGGGGCAGGCAAAAAGTACCGGACAATGCAAGTTTTGTCTCTGGGCTTTTTTTGCAGTAGTTCACGCCTAGCACGCGCGCCCATTGGTGAACCAAAAACCTACATTGTCCGGTACTTTTTACCTACCCCGAGTAGAACCTGCGAAGCATCCGAAAAGGGTAACGGTCCGGCTTTCGATACTGAGCGAAGCATACAGGCGCAGCTCATGTGCAGACAAGCTGAAGAATCTGATACGCATAACGACAAGTCATAGTGACGGCGAATTGTCCAGCACAAAACCCAAAGTTCTACTAACTGATGATGATGATGCTTGAGGTAGGAAGAAGTTAGGTAGTAGATGTTGAACGAACGACCTCTAGCTCTACACAGCCCGTAACGCAGCCCGAGAACCGATAGACGCGGTATGTTATGAGACCAGCGTGCAAGTACATGTCATCCTTGGGTTACAAGGATTAAAACGTGAACAGAAAAGCAAGGCAAACAAGATCATGATAGGCATCTTCGTTCTGGGCGCCCTTTCACACTTTCAACCAATAGCACGTTGTCGGCCCAGAGCACCACTCGGCGTCTCGTCCAATGAATTCTAAACGTTAAAGGAGAGATAAAACATCCTAGCTATGGGTCATGTCTTTCACAGTCGCCCCAAAAGAAAAACGCCATGCAAATCACAGTACGTAATCGTAAACCGGCTATGTAGGCGGAGCATACCTGCCTCTGCGATGCTTTCTTAAAACTTGATGAGGTTCTGATAGGGTAGGAAGAACGCTAGCGTATGTAACGCCTAGTGATGGCTGAATCCGACAAAATATTTGGGTTGCCAAGCCCACACTGCGGTCCAAACATACATGTACTGATTGCATGAATACTGGCTACCTAGGGGTGGGCTATGGGAAACAGTTCTCTATCTTAAATATTTACTCTACAGAATTTTTTTTTCATCATGCATAGTGCCATAGAGCAGCGAAGTTCAAAGCCACATGCCAGCAAGCGGTTAACTGTTATTTACCATGTGCAACTGCAAGTCAGGTAGCGAGACCTGTCGTGTCGTATCATCTCGCAGACGTGGAATACAAAGCAGGCAGCTGCTGCAGCAGCGCGCTAGTGATATCATTGATCATTAATTAACAATCCCGATTGGACTTACTCCGTCGTGTCCAGTGCTTTCCTTATGAGTCCGAATACCCGGGCTATGGCGTAGTCAGTCAATCACTTAGAAAGCCGTGATTTTGATAATGTACAGCCCTAGGTCATGAGCTGAGCTCTCAATCAGCTCCTAAACAAAGCTTTGAACATCAAATTATGAAGTAGAATGAGTAGGAGGGTGTATGAGAATTTTTATAGGCAGAGAATAGAGCTTAATTTGCACTTATAAGTAAAAAAGTATGTAAGCTGGTATGATCGGTGCTTCTTTGTATGTACACCTACTACATGTCTTATATTTGGCCGGGGGACCTTAATAATTGTACGAATTGGTTATTGTACCCGATGCGGAAGGTTTATACAGCAACACTTATACCCCCATGAACGTTGCTACACGCCGCTTTTCCGTCCTTCGGTTTGATATTGATGTGGTACATGATATGAGTAGGCCCACTTTACTATGAAGAACGCCTAGGATATTGGGACAAGGCGCTGTATGTATGTAGATACCCAAAGTATATCATTCGTGCTATACCGATAATAGATATATCGCTGGCCCGATATATCATCGTCACTGATCGTACCAGGATGGGGTCGAAATTTTCTATGAAACCGGGCGTAAGTACTTGATGGGTCCGTGCAAGCTTGCTAGGAATCAGGGCTTATGTACCAAAATTATTGTCATTACCGGGACTAATAAGCTCCGTGTTATACGTGTCACGGGCCTTGTGACCTTTGATATCAGATACTACATAGTATCTATCTAATCCATCCATCCATCCATCATTTGATTGAGATATGGTGATGATCAAGCAGCACACTGCAGCTGCAGCTGCTGGATGCCTTCTTTCGTAAGTCTGGTCGATCCTGACCTAAATATTGCCTAGTAGGTCCGGGAGGAAATAATATTTAGCCATGTTTCTCGTGGGTTAATATATTAAAACAAGGGAGAGAAGAAAGGGAAGTTATTGAAGAATTAAATCGGCAGGCAAATTTTGTTAATTACACTTGAATCTTTTCATGGCAGGCTATATTGCACATCGACCTGTAAATGTTATGTAGTGACCTCCCACCGGGTTGGTGGGTCGGATGAAACGATCAGTTGGTGTCAAGATGAAGCCACGATAACCAACACCATGTACCTACCAGCTTTCGATCTCTTTTGTCCTTGAGCGTTTATAATATTTGCCCCCCGGCTAACCGACCGAAAGGCCGAGTCCCGCGACGGCAAGACACTCACTTTACATGTAAGTAGACGGCCTCGCTAATTCAATGGTTGTTACTGGCTGACTGTGCCCTGATCTTTGGATAATTGCCTAAAACCTGAGTAATATCAACTTATAACAGTAGCTTACTTTAGCTATATTTTATTAACAAGAAAGGTGGGGGAGAGTGGCCGGCATGCCTAATATAACTATATGCCATCATGGGTTGTAACATTAGGTGGCGGTGGGAAGCCCTAATATGGCTCAAAAGATGTGGTAAGTTTGAATTGTTTATCTATCTTTCGCAACAGCTCGGGTTTTGCCAGATATGTGTTTTCCATACGGTACCACAATACCGGTGTTAAGAATACTGCAGCTTTGTTGTCATGCAATGGGTTGCAACTGAAGTATGATACTTGGAGAAGGCAAAAAGAAGCCTAAAAACAGAGGTGTTCAGTTCAACCAATTAATATGCACATGTGGCTACATGAGACGAATAATAATCGTTACCAGTAAAAGGCTGTTCAAGCTCTTTTTGCCTGGATCAGGCATGGCCCTACTATAGGTACGACCATGGTTTTTTTTCGCCCGATATTTTTATGATCTCCCTCTCCATAAGTCGATAAAATATGACTTAAAGCATGGGATACCCTCCGGATCCATCCCTTCCTTTCCTTGAATGCATTCCCTATGTATAAAGTTCATGCAGTTTTACATCACAAGCGAGGAAGATCAAACCGACACGTTGAAGTTAGGAAAATCTCCGACGCTATTAGGCAGAATGTAAAGGTTGGTTCTTAATGCCAGAATGCACAGGTAGATAGGGCAATCGTATCTAAAGATTCTCAGACTGGTTTGAAGTACGAGGGGGGCCTGTCACCAATTGAGTATGGTGGGAGGTTACTTTATTATTCCAAATCTTCGAGCACAAAACTCCCTGTAAAGCCAATATATATCAGGCGTTGTTGAATATGCCATGATTGTAATCTCATGTGTACACAGGCTTTATCCTTTTGTAACTCCAGCTCCGCCTTCATACATTAGTATCTTAAGTACTAACAACGCCGCCTAACCCACACCGTCGGAACTGCGGCGCGAAAAACCAAGGGCCTATCCGAGTAAAGGGTTGAGGGTGTTGCACTGTTGTCTCGGTTGAATTCATCATTATCATCATCAGATGTTATGGAAATGTAACTAACGCTTCCATCTTCACCCCTCTGATTTGGTGCGTTGGATACGGTAGGTTTTGGAATTTTTCCCCATTCATGTACGTGTTGCAAAACCTGTTCGTTCATTCATTTCTCTAGTTTATTTATCTCGAGGATCATGCCATGGCCACGTGCCACAAGAGGTTTATTTAGAAGAAGGGCTTAGAAACGAGAGATCGAACTTGAGGGAGTCCATGGTCTGGTTTCGTACAGATCTGGTGAATTAGATCGACAGCTTTATCTGCCTAGCTAATAAATTGACGCATTATAATTCCAGACCAGCCAGATTGATTAGGTCTCCGATCAATGAAAAACGGCCTCTACGGCCGGGTTTAGTTTTCTTCAGATCTGCAGACTTTCAACTTTCGACCGAGAAGGAGAGCCGTATGTCATATCGTGTCTGTATCCGAGCCAGAGGCTTCTTGGCTAATAACTCAACCGGAGCTCTTTTGTCTTCTTTTTGTGGCACAGACCTTGGATTGCTTGCAAGCTTCAATTGGGGAGAAGGGGTTGCAAGCTCCCCATAATTTGTACTCGATATGATTCGTGATATTACTAATATTATAAGCGCAAAAAGGACCGATTGGATCAGCCTATCATATGGGAAAGTGATGGGCAATTGGGGGACACATATCTGTTCTAGCTCAGTTGCAAAAGATCTCACGATCAAACTGTTTTGCTGCGGTATTCTCCAGGACCCAAGATGGTAATTGCCGTTGGGCTGACACGATGGCTGTATTGGCAACGCAGACTTGTGCGGTCACTATGAAATCTGTTCACCTGGCATGAAGGCGAGATTTATTGAATTTAATTGTTGAGGGATCAGACTCTGGGGCCTGACTGGCATGGGCGAAGAGGAACGGAGGGAGCGTATTGGGGCGCATACATGTTGTAGGTACTGTAACTGAGGTTGAGAGCCGTGACCTCAGGATAAGGAGCTAGCTAGTGCATGCCGGTACGAATTATACACGCCAGTATAAGAGCGGTTTTGCCGTAAGGTTTCCCCGAGGTAAGTGCCTACATGTATTTTATCTTACCTATGACCTACATGTAGTAGTGGCGGGGCAAAGACTTCTTAAGAAATTTATGCCTTTACTCGTTTGGATCAATAGGCAATTGCAGACAAGGATTCGATTGATTGATTATGTAGATACTTGGTACATATAATAACCACCACGTATGTGTGGGTACATGTAGGTACTTTATGTACGTAGGCTGGGTATGTTGGACGTGCAGTATGTACGTACATAGGATCAAACATGAGTTAAATACTTGGATGACAATATGCGTAGTAATAGTAATAGTTGGCAACTTGCTAAGCTCCTGGCCCCAGGCATTGCATTGGCCCGGAGGAGCCTTTTCCCTCGTTCTTAAGGCAATCAAAGCCTAAGCTGAGCAGACAGCCCCATAATATCATAGGTATCATATGTATGATCCAATACGCCCAGGATTGACCTCACCGAGGAGGCGTACTAGAGCATTGCCTATATTACCGATGGTTATTACATGGCTCCTATCGCGGTACAGACTAGGCTGGCGCATCTGGGGGGGGGGGGGTGTTCTGGATTCTGCAGTACCAAGAAATTGGTGGGCATGGGGTTCAATAAACACTCTCTACTGTAAAAAAAAAAAAAATCCGCCTTTTTCTTACCAGTGGCAGTAGGTAACCGACCGATCGAGCCAGCGACAGGCGGACAGCATATCAGCCCTCAGCAGTGGCCTCAGGTCAAAAAGGCGAGTCAACTCGAAAGTGAGACAACTACTTTAGGGACGATCCTTTCCTGAAGCGCCTACGGACATCGCCGATCATTTGCCTTTTTTTCCGCCTTCAATAATCGTAGGCTAGAATGGGATTAGCGTCTCGTTGCCATTGGTTCCCTGGATGAGGTGGGTTAGGTAGTTGAGCTCAACGGAATTAGACCCTGGTTCGTCTTTGTATCGCGCGCCGGTAGTCCCCAAAGGGTAACGAGTGAACCGTTCCTATCCGGGAGTATTAGTAGGAAGGAAAGGAAGGAGTTGAAAGATCGTGGGAGGAGATCTCGAGGAATATTCATACCATGTAAGTACATGTACTTTAGGACCCCGAGACCACAAGTACGCCATGTTAATATCAAAGCAAGGATGTTAGTCTAATGATGAAGTCAGGGAAGGAGGTCAAGGAAGGAGGTCAGCCTGAGGTCAAGGGGAAGGGGAGGAGGAGGAAGTGGATGGTGCCATCCTTTTCATGCTCCCCGTGGCTTGTAGGTAGCAGAATAGATAGCAGGATGGAAGGTGATCAGGACATGCTGCTGCTGATATTCTTCTGCAAGCCATGGCCAGTAAGCAACGTGGAGTGGTACCCGAGGATATAACGTATGAAAAGGGCTTAGCGTTGTCTGGCCTGTGTAATGGAAACAAGTAACTATTTATCTGACGTGACTCCTCTTTACTTATTACAGCTATCAACAGCCAGTAAATTGATGAGAATCGAGTTAGGTAGCGAATGGAGGCCTCGCAACACGTACCACGACGAGTTTAGGCAGAGCTGACCATGACTAGCTAGGGCTACCAACTCGCCTTGTCAATTCAACGAACGAGTGAACAAAAGTAAAGCCCGATATAAGGGCCATGGCCGCGCTGTTGCTGCTGGATGCCTCAAGACAAAGCGATGCGATGCCTAACATAGGTAGAGCAATTGATCATTGTGCTGGACGTTAAATGTATTTACCCCCCCTCGCCTGAGCCTCTCTGTAAGTAGACGACCCACACTCCCTGGAAGATTCCTCTCACGAGCTGCATGTTTTACCTACTGTTGCAGCTTATATTCGTCTACCAGCATAAGAACCAGAAAATGCGAGTGACAAAGTCAAGGATTATTTGTATGGCAGAACGTTGCCACTCCATACAAATAATCCTTGACTTTGTCACTCGCATTTTCTGGTTCTTATGCTGGTAGGCGAGTATATCACACTAGTTTAACAAATGATGCCAGTATTCGTCATATGTAAAGTATACAGAATTCAACCAGACTGTTTATTTTTTTTTACTCATTCTCAGCAGCTTGCGCGGCACCGGTCCCAGAGGTTATCATTAAAGCTTTCTTATAGGTTGACTTGCACGGCTTACGACGTACAGTACTGGTATTGCAAGCCAAGTCTCACTTAAATCAGAGTACCGCCATAACTCAAATTGACTAGATCAGAATTACTTGTATGGGAAATCAATGCCATCCAACCAATCAAAGTCCCTGGACAGAGATAGCCAATTTTTCGAGTTTTGGCGGTATTGGTGTTCAATGCCAAGACACGAGTGCTTTAGCGCTTGGCTGCTATTATTGTAGTACTTACAACAAACAATAGGCCGAAAATATTAAATACTTCTCTTTCTATGTGGGTAGGTGATGAATTTGGAAGTGTGTAATATAATTGTAATTGGGTTGTGTGCGTATGCTCCATGATCCAGTCTGTGACCAGGCCTAGATCCTGATGAATCTTCCCCCTCGAAACATGTTTTACTTTAGTTCATTCGTTCTCCTACTTGCGGTTGCGTTAATCATAACAAATTTAAATCAGCTGATACAATTTGAAGAGCAGATGTTGCAAACAAAGAGTTACTTCTCTGCTTTATATACCCACTGTTGAAACGAATTTCGGTCCGGTAATTAATAGATAAAGGGATATGTTTCAATATATGTGGCCGGCCGCCGAGAACGGGTGCCGACGCACACGTACACCAATTGTATGTATCAAGGTACAAAATTCTTCTACATAACCCATTTGTAGCACCTTCGAGAATAGTAAGTGCCTGGGCACACAATAGAGTATGTAGGTACGATGGGGCTAGGGGAGATAGGGCATAAAGTATGTAGCTTTGAAATGGGAACGATATTATTGATAAGCTTGCGATTGTCCAGCTGGTTTCTCCCTTTGCGTTTCCGGTTGCTTGATTTGCTCTGTCATAAAAAGCAATATTGTCCTACCCCCCACCGAAAGCGGTCACACGCACGCCGTGATTTGTCCATTTTATCTTCTATTTCATTTTCTACCCTCTCTCCTCTTCCTGTTTGTCTCTGGCATTTTGGTAAAATCCCTACGGTCAAAGCTCAGAGAGATCCGGACTGTGGATACATATCTGTGAAGTGTGCGCCATCAAGCTCGGTTCAAGGCACCCGGGAAGTATTTAGCTTGTGCCCAGCAGCAGTGGGGAGGTCGACGATCTATATAAGAGCAACACAGACCATAATCGAACGCGGGGCTTTTTCCTGAGGCATTTGATTGGTTGATTTGGAGGGTTGGCACTACTAGTACAGTAGTGTAAGAGACATCTTCCCAGCCAAAACTGGCAAATATCAACTCTAATGCCTACTGTTAGCGTTGATTGGTCGATTGGTTGGGGGAGGGGGGGTGTCTTTGGGTCTATGGGTCTACGGTACGGTCCAGGTATGTGTGTTAGGTACCTACCCAGGTATGTACCTTAACTCTACATGAATGACTTGGTATGTAGGTATAGAGGAGAACTAAGGTGGCGGAATGACCGTGGTGGCCCACTATCCGCTGTTCCCAACCCGGGAATACGGCTCTGATCGGTTGTACTGTACGAGGTTTCAAGTACAGCAGGGATTAGTACAGATTTCTGGTAAAGAATAATTAGCTTTTGTTAGTCTAAGTAGAGCAGGTAAGTGGGTACTTCGTCATATTAAGCAATGTCAGTCGTCTATCATGATGGCCGACGACTCTACCCATTCTTTCCTTTTGTAATTCGTAATTCGTTCTCCAGCTGCCTGCCTTATATTATCCGTATATAGTCGATTACTGTCTGTATGTACCTCGTTTTACACCTCATCCGTATTCCCGGTGGTGGTGGTTTACTTCTGAATCGTTCGTCCGAGTCGTCATCCATCCCTTTTCATGTAAGTTTAGTTACTCATAGTCCATCTATCCGAATTAGTTTCGAGTCCACACACACACACACACACATCACACACACACACCACACATAATATGTGCACATATCCAGTGAAGGATAGAAAGAATAGTTGATCCTTCCTTCCTGAGACTCCATTTTTTTCCCGCACGGTATCTCGTAAGTAATTAGATGTAGTGTTGTTGTTGCTGTTGGTCCACTTTACTATCATTTAATGTAGTACAATCATTTTATTACCAATGTTATTATTACCATATCTATGGATGTGGCCTGTAACCGTTATTGTTGTAATCAAATAATTTTTGATGGTGAGGGTATGGTCATGATCATCCTTCACGATCATTCCTGCCGAGGGAGCAAACATTTATTGCACCCTTCCCTTAAAACCTTTCCCTTCCGTTGTTCCTCATGAGTGGAGCCCTTACTTGTCTAGGCCTGTGTCGTAAAATACCTATTCTTGTGTTGTTATTCCTGTTGGACATACATACATACCCGGCCACCGTGTCTGGTACGTACGGAGGAGGGTGAAGAGAGTGAAGGGGAACCCCTTTCTAACTATCCATCCGTCGCTTGAACGTGAGTGTACCAGTGAGATACTCCTCACTTTGGATCGCCTCACTCACTCAATCTCTCTCTTTCTCTCTCTCTCGCAACACATAACGGCCAGTCCAGTGTGTAGCTACCCCCACACCCCTGTCTGTCACTTTACTCAAATTCCAATTATATCTCTCATTCCTGCTAGATTAATCATATACTAATCTCCGGTGTTTATGTGGTGGCTCATGTTAGTTACTACTTAGTAGAGCCCTCCCTGCCTCGCCCAGCTGCAATCGCCCGCTCGATTGCGACACTGCTGTTGCTGCTCGCTGCTCTACCTGGGTACCACTGGAGTCCGCCAGATAAAGACAAAAGAGGGAGTGTCACGACGCAACTAGGAATACCTTGATACCTTGACCGACATTTGACTTACTTAACAGAGACAAACATCAATTTTTCCCTTACTACTCTTCTTGTACTAGTGAGTACATTACTGTTCGCCGCCACTTACCAATACTGCTAGTTAATTAACATTCATCTGCAACCACCTCCCACTACAACAGCCCCCTCACGACTATTTCAAACTCATCCCATCCCTCCTCCTCTACTTCTTTCGCTCCTCCCCCTCTGTTCTTGTTCTTCTGCCATCTACCGTGAACGTCAACCAACTGTCGTCACAAGTGGAAGCCTACACCAAGAGGCAACACATCTAACTACTACTTAACAACTACGTACCGAAAATAACTAACTCCGGCCGCGCCAACGCCTACTATTCCACAGTAGTCTACTATTCTAATACCGCCACCTAATACTATTGTTATCCAAAGCTCAACAATAACTCGTCTTGCGTGGACAATCCAACGTTTCTGTCAATTAGGGATATAAATATAAAAGCTGTTTAATTAATATCCAAAATTTTCTCAGCTTCACCACGTTACCCTACAAAAGTTATAATTTTAATTTGCAAGTCAGCACCATTCCGTCATCACTTCCTCCGTCGACCCGCTCGCCGGGCATGTCGACAACACCCCCCCGGATACATCCTCCTACGGATTGGTCGACGAATTCTACGCCAATGTCCGCCGACCGCGATACTCGGGAAGTCTTTCTTGGCCCAACCACCCAAGAGACGGACGAATTCTACGCATATCAGCGCGACAACCCTGGAAAGGACAAGTCGGAATATCTAACATGGTTTGAGAACAAATTTGGGAAGGAAATCGAGCTTCGACGCCGCCGCTCTGACCAACCGTCCGATCTCGAATATATGGTAATCAAGAAACGATCCAAGTACCGTGAGCGGATCGGGTTGGAAAGCGAAAAACTTTTGGCGTACTATGAGGCCAATCCGAAGAAAACATACCGTGAGCTCGCCGCTTGGTTTCAAAAACAGTTCGGCAAGGAAATTGACATAACTGCAATTTCTCGTATGTGTGCGAGTAATAATCATGTTCCCCCAAATTCCCAAGAATCGAGTCGGCGACAATTTTCTTTTTGGGGGGTATAGGCTGGGCTAACTTTTTCTTTTCTTTTCTTGTTATAGGTGCCTTGAAACGAAATCGAAATTCGGCTGATGCTAATGGCGCCGATAGCCCCCCAGACACAGGCCCCGGAGGAGGACCCCCACCGGCAAAGAGAGGGCGCCGTTCGTATGGTTCCGCCAACGCGAGTGCATCATCTGCCGGCGGGCCGCCGCAATCGTCAATGCCCACGTTTTCCGTTGATATATCCAACAGACCACATGCGGAGAGCGAAGGACACACCCCGAAATCCCGACCTGAGACCCCGCAAATCCCTACCGAAATTGCTCCGTTTCCTGACAGGATGGTACTCCAGCAACAGCAGCAACAGCAGCAACAACAGCAACAACAACAGCAGCATCAGCAGCATCTTCACCAGCAGCAGCAACATCAGCAGCAGCAGCAGCAGCAGCAGCAGCATCACCATGATGGTGGTGGACAGCTCAAGATGGAGCACAAGCCACAAAACTCCCAACCGGCGGTATATCCCACTAGGATACGTCCGGCAATTCCGCAAGAGTCTACTCCACTTCCACAGGCCGCTGCACACCCGCAAACACCCATGTGGAATCCCGTAAATCCGCCGCCGTCCAATTTCGCTGCCAAGGGGGGGAAGATCGCGGCGAAGTCCGAGCATCCGAGCACTGTTGTTGCACCACAAGGCTCGCACAGTAACAGTAGCAACGGCAAGGAATCTCAGCCACAAATCTCACCAGCCAGACCCAACAACCCGCCTCCAAGGGTCCTGCGCAGCAACAGCTTAACCAAAGGCTCGGCACCACCACCACAACAGCATCCTCCTCCTCCACCACCACCCCCACCCCCTCCTCCCCCTCCACAACAAATTATCTCTGCGATGAATGGCAACATTCCGCCCCCAGCGGAACCATCCGAATTCCGTCATCCCATCCAGCGGCATCAGGGAGAGGATGAAATGAATCTAGAACAGCTCAGGACACGTCTCACAGACGTGGTCAACCGCAAGGCCCAGCTTCAGGACGAAATGAGGGCCTTGGAGCAGGAGATTACCAACAACGAGAAGACGATCCATATGAGACAATACGATATGGAGGTTCGTAGGTTCCAAGAGGTCGAAGTTAGTTTTAGGGCAGAAATCAATAGGTTGCAAGCCGAGTACGAAGACTTAAAGGCGTGGAATTCAGAGATTTCTCGTGGAAATCTCCAGTTGCAGACAATCAAGAATCAACTTGAGGCCGACAACGGCAGGCTCCAGGAGGACAATCATGCCATGGCTGCTGAAATACAGGCACTGAGCGCAAAATTAGAGGCAATGCGTGAGAGGGTGGGTGCTCAGGAAGCACGTCGTAGCCGGTCCGCTACTCCCACCAGACAGGAACCCGCCATGAAGGCTGAGATGGATGCGTGGCTCGTATCAAAATTCTCTAAGGACGCAGAAAATGAGGGAGAACTCAAGCGTCTTGCTGAGAGTTTGGCTCAGGCCAGTTGGAAGGAGCTCGAGGGAGGCGTTCAAAAGTTGTTGGACATCGTGAAGGAGATGGGAGCAGAAAGGCAAAGACGACAAGACCAATGGTCATCTGGTATTTTCTTAAACGGCACAGCCCCGGCTGCAAAGACCGACGGAGGTAGGATAGAATAGCCTTTTGGGCCACTACGGCACCCCGATCACAGTTCTAACGTTCTTCCAGAAAAACAAATGACACCTCCAGCCTCTACCCACTGCGTCACCGACGAGACATCGGCTTCGCCACCTCCGCTCGGAGAACGGGAGACCGACCCGAACCCGAGACATGAATCTCACCCCAATTCCCCCGAGCTCAAAACAGCACCCAACGCAGCAGCAAAGTCAGAGACCGACCCATCGGCAGATGTGGAAATGAGAGATTGATCTTCAAATCCTTTAAAATAGGATGTAGATTATAACTCAGAAAAGCCCAACTGTCCATAATTCTAGAATCCTCCATTATATATAGGCCCAGGCCTCCAAACGAGAAGCCAAAGATACGAATCCACTATGTCCCAGGTTTCAAGGTTGTTCTATCATATCCCATTGTACTTGTTGTTATTTTGGTGTTTAGTACTTCACTTCTTGTTGATCGTGTTCTGGATGGCTTCTTCCTTTTGTTTTTACCCTCGTTTTATACTCTCGTTTACATACCTCTTTCCTTCTTAATTTTGTTTTATGCTTCATTTTTTTTTTTTTTGACTGAAATTGGGGATTGAATGATGATCTGGCGCACTACGGGCTCGTTTTTTGTTAAATTCTTTTGATTGTTTTATTATACCTGCACTTTGTCTCACTCATCTTCATACCACCGTTTTTTTCCTATTCGTACATTCGTTTCATTCGCGCTACGCTCGTCAAGCGTGAAGATATGAGCATTGAAGACCTACTTTCTTTCGTTTTTGCATAGGGGATCGTTTTTTCTTTCCTTTTTTTGTGGGGGGCTTGGGTTACGTTTCAAGGTTCATAAAGGTGTAATTATAGTATGCATGGTCTGAATATCGAAAGAAAAAAAAGATTTAATTGTTGGCATAATACAGACATGCTTAAATCATTTGCGGAATCCATTTATCTTGAACCAAACCCAGCCCGGGCTTGCATGGCAGTGGTAATAGCCAAGCCCCAATTGCATTAACAGTGATGAAGAAAACATGTGAATATTCACCTAATTGGATCCATGGAAGGGAACTCTAGTGGGGCCAATAAATTCTTAGGATAGGCCATCCCAGCCAGTCCTTGTTGCCGTTGGACGTGGTGAGCAATGAAGGTAGGTCCAATAGGCAGTCCCAGCCACTTTGTATCTGGCTGGGCTTCAGGGAGTTATTTTGACACGGCTGTTTATAACCAGAGCCAAAGCTCGCCCTATATTTCTGCCTTACCGTCAAGCCATGTTAAAGTCCAACCCACGTACCACCTAGCACGCACAACCAAGACCTCTGACATGTTTGCGTACACATGTGATTTCACTAACATCTTTCCTCCAATCTTCTGCTTTGGTTTCTGTATCATCCTTTTCAGACGTTTATACATTACGGTCAATCGTACCATACATATACATATATCACTTCCCCCACGCCTATCTTGATAGGTGACAAGAATGGACACGCATTAATAGATAACGGTAATCCTCTGGAAGAATTGAAACACGGGTTGAAAATCCCATTGGTAGCACTGTCGACACCGATCTCGTCGGTGATCTTTTTCGCTACCTGGGTTCATGACCACAGAGATTTGACATTCCTAGATATGTATGTACTGCAGACGGGATCGAAAAGAAAACCGGGGATGTCACTGAAACCGCTCAGGGGCATTTTGGGGGCTATAGCTACAGATACGAAAAAATCGAATGAGCTTGCTACCGCATCTGGCAGGATGCCGTGAGACTGAGGTAATTGCGTACCGTGATATTCACACAGATAGTAGAATCGGCTCAATTCGGCATTCTTAAGAATGCTGGGTCACTACGGCACTAATAGTATCGCCGTTTCTCATACCGATAGCGGACCGGGGCGCGTTCGTATACGGATGCCGATAGAAAGTAGATGTTATAAGATCTTACAAAACGACGTCGACATCGTGAAGTCATTACATTCGTCCAATGTCTCAACCGACAACTCAGCTATGGGACTAACCCGTCCGAGCTATCCAACCGTACTGAAAAATCTTGGAATTGCCTCTCTCAGGCTAAAGGTCACGACATATGATTAGCTAAATGTCTCTAGATTTGAAATCAGTAAATATGGGAAGGGTTAACGCTTATAGGAAAGAATCCCGTTATACACACTACCTAGCTCTCTTTAAATGCCCTAAGATTTATTTTTATTTTATTTTTGAGCCTCATCAATCATCACTCGCTTACAGGAGAACCGGTTAAGGATAACCGCTTTGAGTGGGAATAATTGCGCGATACAGACAATTTGGAAAGTTGGTATCCCTTGAAGAAGTACCTTCCTGAAGAAGGCTTCAAAGCTTCTCGGATCTGTTCTGGTTACCCGAGAAAGGATTCCTGGCTGTACGAACCTGATATTTTCTTCCTCTGATGATCATGGTGCACCCCAATTGATGTCTAGAGTAAGTGCACATGTATGTGCGCACCCCCACACGCCATTCCGGTGCTTATTACTTTGGGACGCTATTGAATTGTACATACATACTTATTCCTCAGGGTAAGGACCTGAAAATGCAGGTATCGGTGCACTGAAGAACATGACCGTTTTGGTACATATAGTGAAGACTTCTTAAAATGGCGGTTTTTATGCCAGGATAATGTTATTGCCTAGCGCCTGTGCGCCGAGACCCATTCTTGTTTCTCATCCCGGGAAACGAGTAAATGCTACAATTGGTAGTAATTTAAGTGGTGCACTTGACACCTATTGCTTCTTCAGTTAACCCAATTATGTAGATCAGTGCCAATAAGCCTGTGTACTTACATACCGATTTCTCGGCCTCTCCGAAGTCTATGGTAACGGTACGTTGCATTGGAACGCCGAGATTGAAGGCTAATCTTTCAGGAATATTAATACAACTCTATACTATAACAGAGGCCCCATTTGTGTTAAAAATGCCTGTTCCCGGGATTCTATTTGCCGGTTCTTGTATCGTAATCCGAATGGGTATCATAGAGCTAGTGGTAAGAAGCCAATCAAATCTTGACGGAGTAGGAATTGCTATATGTAAAGGGTAAATATATTGAGAGACTTACATAAGTGGGGAATATACTGTGGGGTGATCTTTACTTCTTAGTACCGGAGCTGGAGATGTGTGAAAGCTCCAATGGATAGTAATAGTTTGGGTGTATACGTATACTAGGATCAACATGGTTCTAAGTAGATTGACATGCACTCCCCGTAACCAAGAAATCCCGCGGATACTCGAGTGGGGAGCTGACGGCAAAGGCCGTTGTGGGGACGTTGCCAGTGCCATGCTGCCATGCTGCCATGCTGATGCCATGCTGCCGCACAGAGGCTATAGTATGTACTCGGACTTCGACTCGGATTAAACAGGAGCCTATTGACATGATTAAACCTTGGAAATTGTACTACACTCAGATTTATGAGGGCGAAATGTCGCACTGGTTTCAAAGGACAAAAAGGGGTATGAAAAGAGAAAAGCACCGTACATACTCTAGGAGATTCACTCAACCGTGGCGCCGATTATGCCGAACCATTTCTCCGGTGGCCCGAGGTTGTTTTGTTTCCAGCTTGAGCTGAACTCTGTAGAAGCTCGAGCCTATTGGGGTAGTAGGTCTTTAGGGAGGCCATCGTATAGCTGCATTGGCATTGGAACCTGTGTAGTTATTGAACCTGGAAACTCTAGAACATTGAACACCTTCAGTGTCGATCAAATGGGAATATGTTTCAGGGGAAGTCCACCCGGAAGATGAGCTACATACAGCCACTCTGCAAAAGTGTTCGTGATTCCGATTTCAGAGTGAGACACCTCCCCATATGTAACCGCGGTGGGCCATCAAGAACCCCCAAGAGAAGACCTTCCCAGTGACCAATGGCGCCCAAGTTAATGAAAAATAAGATCAATGACCTATCCTCCTTTTATATATAGTCACGAACTATATTATATATTTCTCGTTGTTTTGGATCTCAACTTTAATAACATCAGTATTACGGGTGCGCCACACTGTGCACCGACATTAAAACTATATCACGAACACTTTTGCTGAGTGGCTGTACATCTATCCTAAACAAGCTCTCACTAGCTAGGGATTCCACGTGAGACCAAGCTTCCGACACGTGTGCTAATGACAGGTATCAGATATATAAGACTCGACGCTAGTATAAATGGAAATAGTCTAGAACTCGTAGTGGCGAAGTGCAGTTTTGCGAGCGGTGTGAAGAGTGACCAAGAAGAGAGAATATAAGCTTATGTGTACTGCACATGTATGTAGTTCAAGTAATCAAAGGGATAGAGGTAGATTTAGGTGATTTATAACCCAGTTAATTACCATGTAAAGTTGTTTTACGAGCATTGCAATTCATACGAGCTACCGTCTACCTGAATATGTGTCATAGAAGATCACTCGGAATATCATTACGCATTTCTCGGTCCACCGGTCTCACAGTATAATAATAAAATCGGCAACCTCCGGGCATGATGGATCACCGCGAGGTCCATCTTTTTTCGGCGAACGTCTCACAATTTATTGGCAGGGTTACCATCTTATTAGATCCCGATGGACACCCCACCAATCATAAGCTCCGGAAGTGCGCACGTTTAGCCACTTGGAGGAAACTAACCATTCATAGATAGACACTAGGCATTAGATGTTAAGAAGACTTTGACTCGTGACACGTCCTCAATTGTTTACAATATACAGTCACAAAAAAGTTCTTGCGTTTTAACGTGATCCCACTTCATCGTTTCAATGGCCCACACCGAACGCGTCTCAAGCAGAAATTCACTCCAACTGGGTCAGCTCACAATCACACGGTCCCTAGGTCTGATGCACGTACTCCTCCTACCCCTGTTTATATCGCAAGGAGCTTCTATCAGCTCCGACTGGTCTGCGCCCAACTCAACACGAGTAAACAACGTGACCTTCGCTGTGTCTGGCAATGGTACAAACGGGTTTATATACAACTCTTCTTATACATCTGATGGAGAATATGGAGTATATAATTATTGCAACATGCCGCATGTTCGGGCAAGGGAATACCTGGTCCCGGATAGCCAATACAGACTGGAGTATGTGGAGGTCATTCAAAGGCACCACAAGAGAACTCCGTACCAGAGTAATACATTTCCGGTGGAAGATATTGAGTGGAATTGTGGAGACACAAGACAGTTTTATTATGGCGAGCCTATGGATGGATTTGAGGCCGCGAAGGTTTATGTGAGTCATAGCTAGCCGGTTTTGATAGCTGAAAGGTTTCCTGCTGACTGGAATGCTACGTACTAGTGGGATAACTACGAAGACCCTTTAAACCCTCTACGAAAACGGGGCTACCAGGGTTCATGCCAATTCCCACAGATTACTAAAGACGGTCTCGATGATTCCTATACCCACGGAAAGGACCTCTACGACGTCTATCATAAAATACACAAATTCCTTCCTGCAAAATATGATGAAACAACAGTTTTTCGAGCGACCAGTAATGTGATCACATCACAGGTTGCGGGAGCTTTAATCAAGGGAATGTTCGGCTCGTCTGATAAAGTTCCTGTGCTTCAGCAATATGATACCATAGACTCTCTTCGTCCTGGTTACTCTTGTCCTTACGCGGAGAGTATCCGTGGTGGTTATCAGGGAAGTAATACAAATTGGACTGAACACTTAAAGCTGAGTCAGTGGCTTTTCGGTGAGCTTGATGCAGTATCGGGTGTTAATTCTACTGATAGTGAATGGCACTCGTAAGCTCTACCTTCCCATATCAGATACTTATCTGCTATCTACTCACTGATGTATGCACTTTCAAGTTGGTATGATCATTATTTCGACAATCTTTCCTCCCGTCTCTGCCACTCAAAACCTCTCCCATGCTCAGCCACTTCCCCGAGCAAATGCATAAGCCGTGAAATGGCAAATAGCGTCTTTCGTATCGCCCAATATGAATACTCCTACATCTTCCGCGACACCCCCCGATCGCTTGAATATGCAAGAACCAAGTACGGTCTCTACCTCCACGAGCTTTCGGCCCGTCTGCAGCAGCACGTCGATGGCATCCAAGGCTCAAAGGTTAAATATAGACATAACATAGGTCATGACGGTTCTATATCGCTGCTATTGGGAGCATTACAGATTAGTGAGATGGTCTGGCCCGGAATGGGGTCCGAGGTTATATTCGAGCTCTATTCGAGCTCGATTCTAGATGCCGGCCTCAACAAGAAGTGGTACGTGAGAGTTTTGTGGGGTGGGAAGGTCATGCACTCATCGGCGATGGGAGAGGTTAATATGATTCCCGTGGAAGAGTTTATGGGGTATCTACGTGATTTAGTAGGGGACAGTGGGGCTTATGTGCGCGAGAAATGCGGGATTTAGGGGGGGGTTCAAAATTCTGTTGGACCGAGGGCCACAATACTAGTGGTGAGTAGTAAATGCTAAATTCATAATTACTTAATAATTGTGACATGGTGCAGAGGTAGATTGTCACAGAGTTGGACACTTTCTTTAATTAGCAATAAATATTAGGCACAGAATATCCCGACACGTACGTACCTATAGCCTGATCATAAATGATCGCTACCAAGTGTGGGGGCCCGCTTATCGCTCATGCATGCATGGGAACGTGCACCCAAAATCCAAAATCTTCGGCAATATAAGTCTAGATCACATATATCATACATTAAGCAACTTTGAGGAAAAAGGCTTGTGTCAAGTGGGAATCTGGTCGTCGTAAGATTTTATTGTGTGATTACAAGAGCCTATTAATTGGATTGGCTTGTACCGTAGAGTACTGGCAAAACACACACTTATCTTACTCCTATGCCTTATCATAATTGACTTTAGGTCCAATATGCTTTTTTACCTGACGTAACCGTGTACTGCAATCTCTATACCGAGGACTTTGGGTCCGTGGAGTAGCTTAGTGTTTGGTGAAACTTAACTGTGGCTGATATTGATCACATATAGTCTTCATGTATTCGGCCTGTTGGCATATGTAAACGCTTTTGAAAAGGATGGTACTACTTGACTTGGTACATGGTGCAACCTATATTTGATGGAATGAGCTAGGGTGATATGATAGTAAAAGGAATATGCATTTTAGAGGGTAAAGAGGGTGTCTAGATCTAAAAGGAGGGGGATTATAGCATCTGCCATTAAAGTAGATCTACACGCAGGGTTAATATAGATATGTAGTATCTAGATCTATTCTTGACGGCTCGGACCTTTACCTCAAACCTATGAGTAAAACAGCGAATGTGTTGAGTTTTCAACACATTAACTCTACCTATATGTCATGATCATGATCATGCTTAAGAATAAATAAGAATAAGGAGAACAATATTTGTGTTATAATTATGAGCATCATATTAGACTTATAATTACTTTTCAGTGGGGGTGTGGTGCGCAAGTGTTTGCTGGTCTGAGACCGTGACTTGCTTAAATCTAATAAAAGTATTGTGAAAAAGTTGTTTCAAGATTTTCTACCTGTGATCATGATCCGGGCCCATGCGATATATATATATCATCGGTAATCTTAGCATTAACCTCATTAACTGACATGACGTACCAGGATTAACCTTCTAAACCATCTTCACATATCCAAGTTACAAATATCAACATTTGATCCTCGATATATACAACGTTTTAATTTACGGAGTTTTCATGAGTGTGCAAGTACATGTACGCATATATCATGATCTCATAAGAACAATATATTCTGTTGATCCTACAGGGATAATTTTAGAGAAAAACTTGTTTATCGATGGCATGGGCTGCCCTGGCCAGCCATCTATGTCTTTGGAATGAATTCTGGAGGCTTCGCGATGAGATTTCCCAGTCGTTGATTTTCGTAACTGAGAGGGTCCGTCATTGGGCTAGTACACATGCTGAAAATAAGCCTCTAATGCATATGCCAAAGGATAGTCAAATTTTATCTAATAGAATGATGAAATTAAAGTATACGTATACACTGTGCGAAACCTTTCACTAAAAACACGTGCACCCAATCACCATTTCTCCTAACAATTATCAAAAAAGTCAGTTCCAGCAACACCAAAGAGAAAATTTTCAAGCCTAGGAGCTCACTAGTCAGATCACGCATTACCCAGTTACAAAGAAACAACCTTATACAATAATATATATATAAACAATAACGCAGGTAAAGGTCTTACAGGCTTAATCATAGCTATTTAATATTTATATGTACTCAAATATCATTGGCCATTGGTCAGGAATTCACAGGACAGAAGCCCTATATAGAATCGGGATTCTAACTATTCTACAGTGCCTGTACGGTCCGACCATCTAAAAAGGGAGTTTTTAGATGTGTTCGTAGAAGATGGCACACAAAACATATAGAAGGCGAGGTCCCGATTTTGTCTCCGGGGCTAATGTCACTTAGATTCGACGTTAGCATGGAGCGGGTTTAACTGATATATCGAGGCACATACTCTACAACTTTCAACTAAAGATCGTATCACCCGATCATGATGATTAGGAATATTTGATTACAGTTCGTATAATGTGAGAATTTCTTACCTTGTAGACATTAAAGTTTCTTCGTTAATAAATCAATCAATCAATCATCAATCGGCAAGAGTGATTAATATCGAGTGATAATTCATGAACCAAACCTTTCTAATTGATTAATTAACCGATTGATTGATAATTCGTTTAATTTAAGCCTTTTCCTAGTTTATTGAACGAGACAATTTTATTTATTCATATATATGATCTAAAGAATCATGGTATGACTGGAAAAGTAACCAACTCAATAAAACTAACGTTAGCCGTCACATTGTTTAATGAAGTATATATAATCAATCAAATCAATCGTCAACATTGTGACGTGATCCATGCAGACTGCAGTACTACTGGCTGTTGCTCATCTAGCAGATAACTAGCTGCATAGTTGGGAAATTGTTAATGGGGTTTATGGTCACGGAGTAGTTGATGGTGGGAATAACGTCGTTAATAGCTATATACTTGTGGCTACATGGCGTTCGTATCAAATTAAGTAAATGCTGGCAGCGGAATGAACCGCTCGGGTGTTGCTACTCAATGAATAAATGAGAGGCCAGCAACTAAAACAAATGTGCCTTGGGGGTTAGAGAAATAGCAAAATGCCTAACCCGTCGAATCATTTTATCTTTTAAACTAGTTGGTGCTGACCTTTCAATGGTGACCAAAAGCTACTGTATTTAGGTAATTACCATATTTCTTTCACCATGCATATAGCTGTCTACACACAGACCTAGCCATCCTGAATTTTGTCCCCACGAAAAAAAGGACCTGTATTGTCTTGATGATGATTCATGGGATACTTAAATGTTAAGATGGGAATTACTGACTTTCTTTCCCCCTATGGCCTTCCGAAAAAGCCGTTATATGCAGTACCCCTTTTCTCCCCTTACTCTTTATTTTTACGGGGAAATAATTTCCTCAGCCGTTAAGTACATATGTACCTGTAGTTGTTTATAAGAAACATTTTACCATCTATTGGTTAGTTGGCTATTATCGAGATATAATCATTGACCTTAAGTTGATAATAGAACCTGATGAATATTAATAGAACCGGATGAATATTAATAAAAAACATATGACAATGACTCTAGGCCCTAAATCCCACCAACACAAGGAGCCGGCATGAGAGCATATTTCAGTATATAAAGAGCGGGTGAGCTAGATTTAAAAGTCAATTCATCCTAGCTTCAATACTGTTTTGCGAATATCACCCTATCCGCTCTAATTTTTGTCTGGTATCCGTCAATAAGGCTGGGTAGCGCATTGCGCACAATAACCAAAGTTTCGGCTCTGGCACACATATACGTCGAAAACTTTTACCGAGCCACGGGGGGGGGGATCCGGCGGCATCAGATCCTATACTACATAAATCGAAACTTTATGCAACCCCAAGGCCTATATCCGTCTCAATTAGTGTACCGCAAATTACCGCTTAGAATTTAACTGTACACAACTGATCATGCTCGACTTTAAATTTAGTATCTCATGCCGCGCCTACAAAAGCCCTCTACAAAAGGGACAGTCACAGAAACATACAAGATCGATAAACCCGGCAGAACGGCAGCAATTGCGCAATACAACTATTCTTGATACCTCATGCGGGGACCGGAACTACTGGAGATTAGAACAGTACCAGGTTAGCCCAGAATAACGCTTGGATATGCCAGCCTATGGATGCGTGACGTCGTGACAGCAGTCAGGCCGCCCGACCATACTGCTGGTTGCTTATTTCTGGATTGCTAGCAAAAAAGCGAGGGAGCTTCCTATGGTACTGTAGAGGCCCTACACTTTGCGTGATCGTTATAATAAGGTTTGTAGATTACATATGGATAACTGAGCTGGAAGTGCACTTCTACACATGCAACTATCCAACCGGCCGGACGTCCGGACAATCCGTTGATGTCTGCATACCCGAAGGGATACGAAACCAAGATTTTCTGGCACCCGATCTCGGAACTTGACGTGCTAGCTTCGATTTGAGAACCTGCCTTGTTTAGGGCTTGGAAATACTCGACCTAAGGTGACATCGTATGATCCAAGCATCTCTTTCCCGAGGAGGGGACGGCCCTTTCGCTTCTCTGTGATGATTGGAGCCTTGCCTACCTATTAGGGTTCAGAGTCCGATGCTCAAAGCTGTCGACATTTCTGCACCCCGCTTCGCGCGGCGGACTGCAGCCATATCGCGGTTAGCAACATGCTTGTTGCAACTCATTCCACTCTAGCGAGGTCTCAATGGTTGTCCTTTTGAGCCATTTTCTGTGTCGCGATCCATTGTCTGGAATTAAGCGTAAAAGATAGTAATAAGAGTTCCGACTTCTTGAATCCTAGGCGATGATGCATGATGGTATCAATAAAGCACTGTACGTACGCATGAAACCATCACATTGGAACCCGCGATATTACTGGCGTATAAATGCACAGTTCAATGACGGGCGGTGAAGGCGTTCAAGTGAAATTTCTAATGTTACACCAGCGCATAAATTGTCTAAACAAAGTACCGAAATGTTTGCCGCGGATTATTTGGATTAAGATATCGCTTCCAATAGTTGACGGAGCAATTGAAAACCGCGCGGACATAGAGTAGGTACATGGAGCGTATAAGGAACGGTGAAAGGAGGCTACGCACTCACTCCTGCCGCTGTAGAATTGAAGTTTGATAGATTTATTGGAGGTGGTAGAGCCAAAGCTGAATGGAATCTACCTATTAATAAATGTGTATTTCGCCATCGGATAGAGCCACGTGAATTTAAGCATATTAATTGCATGTAGGGATGATATGGGATAGCCGATAGGCAGGTTAAGGCAGGACAAGCATTCGATCAAGGTGAAGCTTTGCCACCTTGTGCAACTCA